AGAGAGAGAGAGAATATAGTAGAGAGAGAGAGAGAGAGAGAGAGAGAGAGAGAGAGAGAGAGAGAGAATTCTTTAATGAAAAGGCTTTGTGGTCTCAGAGGAGCAACCTCAAATGCCAAAGCCTTAGAAAAACAGTCCACAATCCAATATGTGGGGGAGAGAGCTCCTCTTTATTCTGTCTGAGGTCGGGATATTTTCTCTTCTTCTATTCAAGACAAATTACTTGGGGAAAATAAATGCGGAATCAGGATCTATATTTTTTACAATTTCACACCCTTGTTCAAGTGGTTTTTTTATTTCAATTTTGACCCTATTTTTAAATTAGCACCATCAAACCACTTCCTTTTCAATTTTTTATTTTATTTCTTGACCTATAGCGCAGTACAATACCCTAAAAATCAAACCGCTCCATATCTAGGGCTGGTTGGCATCAGCAATATAGAATTTATGTATCAATCTAAACCAAGTATGAGACGATTTGATTTTGGTGATATCAAACTGCCCTCGCCTTAGGAATGGGGTAAGCCTAGTTGGTCGGGCGATGTCTTAAATGCTTTTCCTATCGTGAGTATTGGACCCTTACCATTTCATGCTTAAAAGAAATTCTTACACGAGAGGCAAAATGCTTTTTCTATCGTGAGTATGGACCTTACCAAATCATGCTTAAAAGAAATTCTAACGAAAGAGTAGGTGGGGATATGAGTTCAATTGCGTTGATCTGACGAACTTGATCTCATTTTATATTTTAATTTTAATTTTTTTTACAAATTCAAATCACATAAAATTTTAGATATATATTCTTCTCATCAAGGCGTACCTAATAAAAATATTAAAAAACTAATTCACAAGATATAAATTGGTCAAAATACTCTTGAATATTTCTGGGTATTTTGGTCAATTATTTCTCACGAAATATTTTTTTGATATTTTTATTGGATTCTCTTATTTTTAAAGAACACATGCCTAAAATTTCAGGTGATTTGGATTTATAGAAAAAATATTAAAATTAAAATACGAAATACAATCGTGATCATTGGATCAGCACAGATTCAATCTAGGCTGTTGGGCTCTTATTTAGTTGTAGGCCCACTGATCTACGCTAGCATTTCCCATATCTAATATCTCCATATTTGGACCAAGACCAGATATAAGGCATTTTGATTTCCAAAATAACGTATTGGCCTAAATGTCATAAAATAATAAAATTCAAAAAAAAAAAAAAGTTCAATATTGCTCACATCAGAGTGGGGCCAAAATTACAAATAAAAACCACACCTAAAATTAAAACCTGGGCTTAAAAACCGCAAAATGTTGACCCTACAGTAAAAGGATTGTTTACAAAGAGACTATCTACAAGGAGATCACAATCGCTCTTATCCCATAAATTTCAAAATGAGTGGTTGTAAAAGTATCATTGAATAGACACAAAGTTTTAAAAAAATTTTCTTAAATGTCGTGACTCACCCTAAACCATTCAATTTGACTTCTAATGAGTGAGAATAGTCATGACATCCTGGTACAAAAAATAAACGATCTCTTTGTAGCAGTGTTGCCAAATTCGCTTCGCTTTAGCCAAAGCTTTTGATTTTTATGCTAGACCGAAGTGAAGCAAGGCCTGGTGCCATTGTTCGCAAAATCACTCAATCTAACCGTTAATCGCTAATCGCTAACCGCCCGGTTAGATTGGAACCGGCCGGTTTTGTGTAGTTAGGGTGATCAACCAGAATGTTTTAAAAATAAAATAAAAAACATGTATATAAATTCTCAAAAAATAAGGAATTCGATTTGTAATGTATTTTTAAATATTTTTTATATTATGGTAAAGATAAAATTTTTTTTTGGTCATTAATACTCACTTTTATATTTTCCCATCTTTTTTAGAAAATTTTAAAAATAGCCTTTGGAAACTATAAAATGGGTTAAAATCCATTTGTTTCATTTCATTTGAATGTATTTTGTTTTAATCATTCTTTATATGTTTTTCATATTTTAGTAGATTTTTTTGTATTTTTTTATTTTTTTTAAACACTTTTTTGACCGCCTGGGACTTGCTCGATTAGAGCAGTTAAATCAGCAGGTTTACCCGTTAGGCCGGTTAAACCGCTTCCAGACCCATGTCTAGTTAACTGTTTCGGTTCGATTTTGCAAACACTGCTTGCTGCTACTACTTCAATCAGATTCATGTTGCTTTAGTCATATTCGGGTAGATTGTGTCGAAGCTTCGGCCTCTTCAGCTTCTAAAAAAAAGAAAAATGATCTCTCTCCTACTCATGTGTGTAAGACCCTTAAAAGATCACAATTAAAGTTGATACGGATTTATAAAAAAGTCAAGTCCCACACACATGTGATAATTTTTTTAGAGATATGTACCAACTTTAATAGTGATCCATTAAAATCCTACACACAGTAAGAAAAAATCTTATAGGATCATTACTAAAAAATAAATATATCTATATAAATTTTATTTTTTTATTTTTTTATACATAAATATTTATTTTATTTATATTAAATTAAAAAAATCCGAACTCTTCCCGAATTGGCCAAGCACCGAATTCCTTCATTTTCCTCACCAAAGAAAAAAAAGACTCCAAAAGCGAACCCAAAGACCATCGGACATAGATTTGCTTTTGTTTTCCCCTAAATTTTAGGTCCAAAAATTTATGAAAACTTGAAAATATATGTGTGGATCGACCAAATCTATGAAAACTTGAAAATATTGAAAATTAACGGTCCAAAAATGCGCTACAAGATCATTATTTTCAAAAGTTGAAATCCATTTTTTCCTCATGGCCATGCATCTTGATGTCAAGATGTTTAATTGGAAGATATTCAAGCATCAAAACAACCTAGCAAAAATTATGAGGTTGGCTCTAATTTGATTATTTAGAGCTCGGCTCTATATAAAAAGTTTTTTATAAAATAGGGAAAATTACAAAAAAGCCCCCAAAATGGACTTTTTACGCACTTTACCCCACCCAACTTTTCCTAACAAATACTGCCCTACAAAAATTCATTTTTTTTGGACGAAGATGCCCTTCCCTCACCTAACAATTTATTTTCGTTGAAGAGTGCGGTCCAGCATTTTGAACGGGCGGTTCAACGATTATTTTTGTTGGAATAGCCAATCCATTGTTTCATGATAGCGGTCCGACGATTATTTTTTTGCTGGAACGGGCAGTTCGGCGTTTTGAAGTTGCGGTCTAGCATTTTGAAGGGCAGTTCGGCGTTTTGATATGGTGGTTCGGCATTTTGAAGGGCAGTCCGACATTTTGAAGCAATGGTCCGACATTTTGAAGTGAGTTCTTCGGCATTGTACAAGTGCGTCCCGACGTTTCCTTTTATTGGGATCCGAAAATGATTTATTACATGAGGGAATGGTATTTTTGTCTAAAAAAAATTTAACTTTCTGTATAGGAGGTATTTGCTAGGAAACATGATTTTTTGTGGGAAGTTGTTAAAAAAAGTTGAGTAGGGTAAAGTGCATAAAAAGTCCATTTTGAGAGGTTGTTGCAATTTTTCCTATAAAAGTCCATTTTGGAGACCTCATAGTATCATTACTCTATCTCAAAGAGAAATGATCCTATAATACCCTTCTACACTCATGTGTGTAGGATCCCAAAGGATCACTATTAAATTTAGTACGAATCCATAGAAAAATTAAGTCCAACATCCATGTGATAACTTTTCTAGAGATCCATACCAACTTTAATAGTAATCTTTTTGGGTCTTACACACATTGGTAGAGAAGGATCCTATAGGATCATTATTCTATCTAAACAGAAAAGATCTTATAGGACATTTCTTTACCCATGTGTGTAGGACCTTAAATGATCACCATTAAATTTGATACAAATTTATAAAAAAGTCATACCTTATATCTATAAGATAACTTTTCTGAAGATTTGTATCAATTTTAATGATGTTCATTTTAAAATCTTACTAAAATAAAAAAATATAAATCATTACTCTATGTCAAAATCAGTCAAAAGATTATTTCCTTTCCCGAAAAGAAAATATGGTGCGATGTGGTCCCGCATGGGCATTCCATACGCGCTCTTAAATTATTGTCACGCGTAGACCTATTACGATGTAGTCTAGAGATGCCTTGCTTAGACCGGAAAGAGAAGTGTCATAAAAGAAAAGAAAGGAAATACGTTGGGAAAACGTTTACGTAACGTTGCAACCTTATATGTGGTATTACGGATACACTTAAAAAATCCATCCAAAAAAATAGTTTCAATGTTGAAAAACCTTTTGATTGATCATAATTATGAAAAATAAAAAGATTTTAAGTCTAAAAAATAGTGCATTTTACAACATATTATCTACACTGTCTATTTTTAAGACTTTCATATGTTCATAGATCTACTTGATTTTATCCATCTTTGAAATTTAAGTTTTATAATTTGATATAAAAATAGATTTTGAGGTAATCCTGAAACATTTTAGATGAAAATTATATACCATAATAAAATTTGAAGGTGCACCTTACCTCTACATCTATGGATGCATCCTTATGCTAACTGCACCCAATATGTTATGCTCCAACATCTTGTCCTCTAGAAAACGAGTGAAGCTTTGTTGAAGAAGAACAAGGGAAAATGTACCAAGGTCTATGTCATCCATAAGGGAAAGTATAGAATGAGACCATTTACCTTTCATACAAGGTGGTCACTTTAATCTTGACCATGGATATGAAATTGGGTGATTGCAATTATTCTATTGACCAAACTTAAATTTTAAAAGAAATTTTTTCGAACTTTGTGACACATCCAAACTATCAATTTTCACATTAAATGGTTGTTGGGAATTGTGACCACCTTTTAGAAAAAGAATACAAAGATATCCTTAATTTTTGACACAAGGAGGTTACAAAGATTCTTGCCGATCATATTTCAAATCGGGTTGTTGAAAAGAGTGTCATTGATTACATTGAAAGTTAAAAAAAAAATATTCTAACTTGGTGACATATACAAGCCATTTAATTTGACTCTTGTAACAAAGATTAATGGTCATATAGTATACATGTCCAATTAATTACCATGGTTTAAAATAGTCTTTTGAAACCCAAATAGGAAGGTCAATCATCTACCAGGGAAACTAGTTTGGATTGGTGATCTATCGGTCAATAAAAAAATAGGAAA